CCTCTGGTGGTATACCTGTCATATCTGAATGCGACCAAGCAAAGCAATCTGCGTTAGCTTTTAAAAATTCAATTAACTTACTTTTCATCTCCGGGCTGAGGTTGGCTCCAATGTAGACTTTTCTGTCCGGCCAATGTATAAACAGTACCACAGATTCGAGTTCCTCGATTGTTGTTTTGATGTTTTCATTTTTTTCTGGTTCTTGAATAGTATCGGGCCATGAGTCTACATCTGTTTTTCCGTCAACAGTTGAGGCTTGCGTTGCTAAATCCTCAACTGAATTCTGTAATTGCTATTTTTTATCGCTTTTCGCACTTGAATCTGCCACCGAGTTAATGCTTCGAGAAGACTGTTGATCACCACGAATTTGTCGTATTCCCCATTGTGAGGGAAACTTGATAACTTGATGTAGGGTAGACGGAACAACATCCATTTCATGAATCCATGGTTTGCCGAGAATCATATTGTACGCCATATCTATTTCTATCACTTGAAATTTGGTATCTTTGATTACTCCTTCTGCGAATGTGGTGAGTATTATCTCCCCCTTTGTTATAACGCTCGAGTTGTCAAAACCAGACAAGGTCCGTGCTTTGGATACCAATTTATCATTGTCTTGCATCTCATTTATCACTCTTAACGGAATGATATTTACGGAACTACCTGGATCAATCAAAACTCGCTTTACATTAGTATCATGCACAAGTAAAGATATTACCAGTTGTTAGCTTATATGAGTCCACCAAACTATAGGGCACCTGATCCTTTATGAGTTTCTACTGAGAATACTTATGAAGCAGTAAGTAAAAGAGACACGGGATTTTTACATGGAAAAATCCCACTCAAGGGGACAAAAACCACGACCTACACTTGTAGGCTTTCAACTTCACTAACTTGTAATCTCGCTATTACAAGCCACTTTGTAATGACTCTATTACAAAGACTTCAACTTAACTAACTTGTGATACTCTTACCACAAGCCACTTTGTCACTCTCTAGTTACAAAGACTTTAACTTATGACTAACTCTAGTCACAACACAAACTTAGAGGGTTTGTGATTTTTGGGTTTCCTAAAATACAACTTCTAAGAAAGCAAGATAGGAGTTACAATGAAGAACAAATAACAAGATTACAAGTCAACTACGGATTACACATAGACTCATTGTGAAACTGATCCTTTAAAATATATTGTGCCTTGCACCAGGTTGTTATACTACAAAAGACATCATAAGTGGTCATGTCAATTCTTGGTACACGCTTTTTCCCAGTGAGAAGTGACTGCTGCACTGTCTGCTGCACTGTCGCATGTACAGTTGCGGACAGTCACTTTCTGCAGTTGCGTTCCGGCTGTATAGTTGACTTGTACTTCTATCAGAGAACCCTAAGGGACCAGGTCCCTGTTGTGTTCCTCTTTGTAGTTGTTCATTTGCTGGAGATCAGACTGGACATTATTCATTTGAAATGTGTACCAAGTGGGCCAGGTTCTCTATCTGGTTCTTAACAATAAGTTTGTTAGATCATCAAAATATAAGAAGCATAAGGCAAAGACATTGGAAACCCATCACCAGTGCATCATTGTGTGGGGTCAGCTCGCCATCTGCATCAGCATAATCAAATGTTATACTATCTTCTTTCAAAACTTGACGAACTCACTTCCCGTGGGTGATTGTGATTTTCGACACCTTCTTTGCTGCCGTGTATGTTACGCCATTGATCTCCTCCCCTCCACTTATGACATTGATTGTTTTTTTGGTGATGGAGGTTTCGGCAGTTCTTGCCTATTCTTCATATATGCTTGCTTTCCCTTTTCACTAAATAATTCAGTTAAGTAACCTTGTTTTAATAGATGCTCTACTTCACCTTGTAGCAATCTGCAATCTGCCGTTTTGTGACCGTGATCGTAGTGAAACTCGCACCAAAAATCGGGATTTCTCCTATTTGGGTTCGATCTCATTTCTTTTGGCCATCGTACCTTATCTCCCATGCCTCTTAAAATAACCACCAACTCAGACGTGCTAACATTAAAACTATAACCACCAATTTTTGCTTTCGAACCTCTGTCGTCTTCCCGGGTGTCTCGCGTGTTTCGATCCTTCCCGTACCTTGACGACGAACCTGATTCTCTGTCCCTTGATCTAGGGTTATTCTTTGGATTTCCTGTTTTGAACGTGAATCCCTTCCTGCTGGTCCCATATAAGGTTCGTGCCTGTTTTATCGGACCTTCTTTCAGTTTCCGCCCGCCTTGAGCTTACTCTTTTATCCTTTTGAGACTGAGTAATGGTATCTTCTTCTATCCGCAGCTTTGTGCTGTATCTATTGTAAACATCATTCCAAGTAGTCGCAGGAAATTCTCGTAAGCTTTCTTGGAGTCTCCTCGTGGCCTCCGAGCTTTTTTCATTCAGGTTACTGGCAAAAGCCATAGCCGCCCAATTATCGGGTACGCGTGGCAACATCATCCTTTCTCGCTAGAATCTGTCTATGAATTCCCTGAGTAGCTCCGTATCTCCTTGTTTTATTTTGAAGATTTCCTCCATTCTTTTTTTGACTTTTTGAGCTCCCGAGTGCGCTTTTATAAATGAATCTGCAAGCTCAGCAAAAGAATCAATAGAATTTTCAGGTAAAAGAGAATACCATGTTAACGCCCCCTTTGTGAGTGTTTCTCCGAATTTTTTGACCAATACAGATTCAACTTCTTGCTTGGTCAAGTCATTGCCGTTTACGCCAGTTGTAAATGCGGTTACATGGTTCTGTGGATCAGTTGTTCCATCGTACTTCGGAATATCGGGCATCTTGAATTTTTTTGGAATCGGCAAAGGAGCGGCACTTGGCTTCCAAGGTTTTTGAGAGTATTTCTCCATATCTATTCCCCTAATTACTGGTGGTACACCAGGTACCTGCTCTATGCGATCGCTCTTCTCCTTGAGTTGTTTCTGCAAAGTTAGTACTAAACTTTGTAAATCAGAATTAACTGGGTTACCTGACCCTCCATCACGAGATTCACTGGGAGTTCCTCCGCTGCCTGAGTTAACGAGTCCCGAGCGCGGATTCTCTATGGTCGCAGTGTTGTTTGGAGGTGGAGTTAGTGGCGGTTGGCAACCCACTAACAAAAGCTTGAAGAGCATTTCTGACCTGTTCTGCAATTAATTATTTCAATGCTGCATCGATATCTTGATTGTTCCCACGCTGGTCATTCATATGCAATTCAGATTTGTCAGGTGTTCCTTCTCGAGATTGTCGAGGAGAGTTTCGTAGTGAGGAGATTGGAGTTCCATCTCCTTGTTGATTTTGCTGATTCAACTGATGTTGCTGATTTTGTTGGTTTTGTAGGTTTTGTTGGTTGTTGTCGTTGACGTTCGACATGCTTTTTTGACAGAAGAATGGATTTGGAAAGTGAAAAGATTATCAGATTTCCGGTAACGGAACTAATTTGTTTAACCAGAAAATAGGAATTTTGGTCAAAGCTTATTTTAGATGTACTCGGGCTACTGATAATCAAATAAAAGAATATCTTAGCAATGAAATAAGAAAAAAAAATGGTAAAGTAATCGGTTTAAAGCAAAGTAAATAAGTATATTCCAATAATAATCAGAACGTGTCCTTACAAGTGAAATTCCCTTTCTCTTATATAGGAATCTATAAGTACAACATCTCTTCCTTTTATGACTAAATTATTACGTACATTAGTGACATTAATGAGACGTTATAATTGGCAACCGTAACTGTTCAGGAAGATTCTGCAACGTCTATAATCATTCATGCGCATTAATTGACGATCCACGAATCTTCCTCCTTTTCAGTCTTGATTCATTATGCCGGTGTCTCTTCACATAGCAATTCACATTCGAGCGCCCATACCCCTTTTATCTCGGGGGTGATTTACTCGTACCTAGTGTGACTTGTGCCTCTTTTAATGCATTTCCCCAGCTGTCGCTTTCTTAGTGATCCACGTATTTTATCACATCAGCCACATATATAAATCCACGTGTAATATTTATTTTCCCCAATACATCTTCTATTGTCTTGTTAAATCTGTGGATCGAAAAGATTATTTATTTGGGAATTATTGTTATGAACCACAATATCCTCCCTGTATTACTACGACTGAACATGTTTGTGAAACTGAATTTACTGTCTCCTGTCAGGTTACCCAGCAAGAGATGAGAGAGATTTTTTCTAAGAATCTGCTTTTTCTTAAAAAAAATTAAAATTTCAAAGTCACTATAATCTACAATTTTCTTTTTCAATCAAAAATCACCGGAAGTAAGATGAGTTTTTTTTAAAAAAAAAAATTTAAAAGATAGTGTTCTAGCGAACCTTACTCTTCAGTTTTCAGAACTTGCATTTGCAAAATTCACACAACCTTTGAGAAAAAAGCAAAAAAGAACTAAAATGTAGAAATTAACGTGGGTTTTGTTTTTCTAAGATTCTATGTCATTATTCAGAAATGTTAATAAATTAAAAATCCTTGTACATTTCTAGTTATCTCTTTTCAATCTAAAATCCTTGAAATAAGATATCAAATCGACTTTTTAAAAGACAAATGCTACAATAATTATATTCTAGAGAACTTTACTTCACAAAATTGCATTGCATTTGCTTAACTTCCGTACAACTTTTGGGATATAGAGGAGAAGCTTCCTTTGAGATCGATCTTAAAGAGCTAAGATTATAATACCCAAAAGAAATAAACGTGAAACGTGGGTTTTTGCCCAAATAAATAAATAAATAAATTACTACAAGACATGATCTACATCGACCACTCCTGACCAAAAAAAAAAAAAAAAAAACCAATTAATTGTCAAATAAACATATGAATTTAATATTCTTGTAAGAAAACATATATTCAAATGAAATAACCATGCCATGCAGGTGCTTCAAATGGGACCTTCGCTGGCACTTCCAACAAACTAATTTATTTAGAAAGAATTCCCATCAAGCATATATAAATATTATACGTTCTAAAACCCTAAACTCCACCAAAAGGAGAAAAAAAAAAAAAAGAAGAGAAAAAATGAATTCAGCTGATCTTTCCCTCCTTGAATCTATACAACATCATCTTCTGAATGATTCTAATATTCCAGAAATCTTTTCAGCTATGGATTCGAATAGCCCAAGTTCAAGTTTTAGCAACTCTCCTTCTACAGAAAACAACTTTTACTATGGTGAATTAACACCATTGATAAACCCTACTTTAGTAGCCACTGAAAAGTTTCATGAATTTGAAGAGACTAATAATAAGGAGACTGTGCCGGCGAATGTGGCAAACGCGCCACAAGATTGGAAGCGGTACAGAGGCGTAAGACGGCGGCCGTGGGGCAAGTTCGCGGCGGAGATAAGGGATCCGAATAAGAAAAATGCAAGATTATGGTTAGGAACATATGAGACACCGGAGGATGCAGCATTGGCTTATGATCAAGCCGCTTTCAAAATTCGTGGCTCGAAAGCACGGCTCAATTTCCCTCACTTAGTCGGCTCAGGCATGCCGGAGCCGGCTAGAGTGAACCCTAGGCGTCGCTCGCACTCGCCGGAGTCGTCATCTGAAAACGGAACACCAAGAAAACTATTTGTGTAACTAGGTTTATGTTTGCTTGTGTATTTTATTTGAGAGTAAATTTCTTTTTCTTGCTGAGAGGAGTAAGTTTTACTTGTAATGAGAAATACATATGTAAATTAGTTTAAGTCGTACTAGCTTTTGCTAGAGATGTAAAATGATCCGTCTTCTATGACGAGATACTCACTATTTTATCCAATTTTAGATATATAATACAATCTAGTGAGTCAAAAATTTCTTTTATTACACTTTTACAAAAATATATCTGTGATTTTTAAACTAGATTACCAATTTTTACACTTTCATATCCTTCTAAGTGATGGGACCCGCTGTCGAGTTCGGAAGATCTCTTGTTATGAGATAATGGTCATCGGAATGTCAAGCATCCGAAAGGTGGATGCGTATATTCGGAGACTCAGTCAACCTTATCCGTAGGTCGTGGATATCAACGTTATGCTGGAACGGTTGCTACTATCGAGGGTCTTGCTCCGACTAGCTAATATCTTGGCGTACTGACTCGAAACTTATTATGCTGGAACGGTTACTACTATCGAGGATCTTGCTCCCACTAGCTAATATCTTGGTGTACTGGCCCGAAACTCGGAACGGCAGTTTTCCCCCTACCACTATAAAGGCTGCCCTAAAGCTCCAAGGTAGGAACATTAGAAAATAGAAGAAAAACTCTCTTGAATACAAAGCATCATCTTGTATTAGATTCTTTTCAATAGCTTCGTAATTCGACCACACCTGCTATCGAAGATCGCTCGGGGATTGAAAATTTAGAAGAATTTTCTCCTCTTGACCATTCTATTTAATCTATTCCGCTATTTCTTATTTATCATTGTTTGTTATTTATAATTGTCTCGAATCAAACAAATTGCTAATAGCCCTGAAAAATAAAAATTTAATTGTTTATTCTTAAAACCAATTTTTGGTCAAACAGTAATCTCTTACAAAAACTAGTTTTCCACTCCTCCTCAATCTTCTTCACAAAGATAATTAATGACAGGTAATAAATTATGGCATAGAAGGAAATTAAAGTATGTAAAAATTAAGGCATAGAGTGAGATAATTCACGAAGTACGAGAAGGACATGGAAACAATTATCTTGACGGCGTATATACAGTCGTCACCATTCATATACGCCATTACATATGTTATTCATATAACATATAGTTCAAGGGTTCCTAATTCCCTCAAATCAAGGTTAGATCCAATACTTACCTCCCCCGCAATCAAATCAAAGCTCAACTGGGGCTTTTTCTCTAAAATTCGCCTCCAAACCAATAGAATCTAACCAAAATCGACTTAATATCATCAATCAATTTAGAAAAATCAATTACAATAGATAAAGCAAAGATCTTTACACTTTTCCCAAAAAGTCAACAAAAGTTAACCCCGGGCCCGCTTGGTCAAAACCCGAGATTCGGACCAAAACCTAATTACCCATTCACCCCCGAGTCCGATTATGTGATTAGTTTTGAAATTCGACCTCAATTTGAGGTCTAAATCTCAATTTTACAAAACCTTCCAATTCTACCCAAAACCCTAATTTTCTACCATGAAAGAGCATAGATTAAGGTTAGAAATCGATGGGTGTTGATGGAAATAAAAGTAAACGAGTTAAAGCATACTAATCTACGAAGTGGGGATGAAACTTCTTTTCAAAATCGCCTCTAGGCCGAGCTCTAATGTTAAATTGGTGAAAAATGAAGAAAATTCCGTCTTTGGGACATTTAAGTCACTGGGCGTCTGCTCCCTAGTCTTCGCGTTCGCGACCCTTCAATCGTGTTCACGTAGAACACACAGCTGATCCCCTTCCAGGCCCATACCTATCGCGTTCGCGTAGCTTTGGTCGTGTTCGCGAAGGATGAACCCACCACTGCTTCGCGTTCGCGACATCAACCTAGCGTTCACATAGAGGAAATCCCACCCCAGCCCAGGTTACTCTTTGCGATCCCGGGAGTGGCTTCACGATCGCGAAAAACAAAGCAACAGACAACGTAATCCTTGAAACCAACACTCCTCCTAAGTCTAAAATCGATCCGTAGCCTATCCGAAACTCACCCGAGCCCCTCGGGCTCCAAACAAAATATGCACACAAGTGTAATAACATCATACGAACTTGCTTGCGTGATCAAAACACCAAAATAAAACCTAGAACTACGAATCCAACATCAAAATGAATGAAATTTTCAAAGAAACTCGAGAACATACAAATTTACAACCGGACGTTTGAATTACGTCAAATCAACTACGTTTTGCACCAAATTTTGCAGACAAGTCATAAATGGTGAAATGAACATATTCCAAGTCCAGAACCAAAATCGAAACCCGGTAGTAACAAAATCAACCTACGGTCAAACTTGGGAATTCTTTAAGCCTTCAAATCACTACTTTTTAACAAATCACGTTAATTCAAGTTAGGGACTTTCGAATTTGATTTCGAGCATACGCCAAAGTTCCAAATCACGATACGGACCCACCGGGACCGTCAAAAAACTGATCCGGGTCCGTTTACACAAAATTTTGACCGTAGTCAACTCAAATGAGTTTAATGCAAGTTTTCACATTTTCTTAAATTTTTCACAAAAAAACTTTTCGGAAAAAGACACGGACTGCACATGCAAATCGAGGAACACTAAACGTGCTAGTCGAGGTCTCGGAACACGGAATTAAAGGCTAAAACTCAAAGTGACCTATTGGGTCATCACATTCTCCACCTCTAAAACAAACGTTCATCCTCGAACGGACATAGAAAGGTATCTGGACTGGTGAAAAGGTGTGGATATCTACTCCGCATGTCCGGCACGGACTCCAACGCAGCTTCCTCAATTGGCTGACCTCTCCACTTCACTCGAACTGAATGATAACTCTTAGACCTCAACTTCTGGACCTGCAGGGGTAAAATGGCCACCGGCTCCTCCTCATAGGTCAAATCCTTGCCTAATTGGACTGAGCTGAAATCTAACACACGTGACAGATCACCGTGATACTTTCGGAGCGTGGATACATAGAACACCGTATGGATTTCTGATAAACTACATGGCAATGCAAGCCTGTAGGCCACCTTACCCACTCTCAATCTCAAAAGGTCTGATATACCTAGGGCTCAACTTGCCCTTCTTTCCGAACCTCATAACACCCTTTTTGGGTGAAACCCGGAGCAATACTCTCTCTCCAACCATGAATGCAATATCACGAACTCTACGATCGGCCTAATTCTTGCCTAGATTGAGTTGTGCGAAGTTGATCCTGAATCATCTTGACCTTTTCCAAGGCATACTGAACCAAATTGGTACCCAACAACCGAGCCTCTCCTAGATCAAACTAATCAACTGGCGAACGGCACTACCTCCCGTACATGACCTCATAGGGAGCCATCTGAATACTCGACTAGTAGCTATTGTTGTAGGCAACCACAAGCGGCAAAAACTGATCCCAAGAACCCCTGAAATCCATAACGCAAGCGCGAAACATATCCTCCAATATCTGAATGGGGGTGAAATGTTGTACTCAACTCAACCCGTGTACCTAACTCACATTGTACGACCCTCCAGATGTGCGAGGTGAATTCTGTACCTTGATAAGAAATGATGGACACAGGCACACCGTGAAGACGGATGATCTCGCGGATGTAGATCTCAGCTAACTGCTCTGAAGAATAGGTAACTGCCACCGTAATGAAATGTGCCGACTTGGTCAACCTGTCCACAATGAACCATACCGCGTCGAACTTTTTCTGAGTCCGTGGGAGCTCCATAACAAAATCCATGGTAATACGCCCCCACTTCCACTCAGGAATCTCCAGCCTCTGAAGCAAACCACCAGGCCTCTGATGATCGTACTTTACTTGCTGACAATTCAGACACCGAGCTACATATGCAACTATATCGTTCTTCATTCTCCTCCACTAATAATGCTTGCCGCAAGTCCTGATACATCTTGGCGGCATCCGGATGGATGGAATACCGAGAACTATGAGCCTCCTCAAGAATCAACTCACAAAGCCCATCCACATTGGGCATACAAATCCAACCTTGCATCCGTGAAATCCCATCATCTCCAACAGTAACCTGCTTGGCACCACTGTAACGCATCGTGTCCTTAAGGACAAGTAAATGGGGGTCGTCGTACTGACGCTCTTTGATGCGCTTATACAAAGAAGACCGAGAGACCGTGCAAGCTAGAACACGACTGGGCTCCGAAACATCAAACCAAACAAACTGATTGGCCAAAGACTGAGCATCTGATGCTAGCGGCCTTTCACCAACTGGAATATACGCAAGGCTACCCATACTCACCACCTTTCTACTCAAGGCATCAGCCACCACATTGGCCTTCTCCGGATGATAAAAATGGTGATATTATAGTCTTTCAATAGCTCCAACCACCTCATCTGCCTCAAGTTGAGATCCTTTTGCTTGAACAAATACTGTAGACTCTGATGATCCGTGAATACCTCACGCGACTCGCCGTTGAGATAGTGCCTCCTAATAATCAGCGCATGAACAATGGCTGCCAACTCTAAGTCATGAACATGGTAGTTCTTCTCATGTACCTTCAACTGCCGTGACGCGTAGGCAATCACCCTGCCATCCTGCATCAATACTGCACCGAGCCCAATACGAGATGCATCACAATATATCATGTAGGATCCTGAACCTGTGGGCAACACCAACACTGGCGCCATAGTCAAAGCAGTCTGGAGCTTCTGAAAGCTCAACTCACACTCATCCAACCACCTAAATGGAGCACCCTTCTGGGTCAATCTAGTCAATGGGGATGCTATGGATGAAAACCCTCCACGAACCGGCAATAATAACCCGCCAAACCTAGGAAAGTTCGAATCTCTATAGCTGAAGTAGGTCTAGGCCAATTCTGAACTACCTCAATCTTCTTATATCCACTTTTATACCCTCTACCGACACAACATGCCCCAAAAAGGCGATTGAGTCTAACTAAAACTTATACTTTGAAAACTTGGCATATAACTGACTATCTCTCAGAGTCTGAAGTACAATCCGATGATGCTGCTCACTGCTCCTCTCGACTGCAGGAGTAGATCAAGATATCATCAATGAATACGATGACAAAAGAATCCAAATAGGGCTTGAACACCC